TGTATGGCTACCATCCAGATTGAGAACTTTCAAACCTCTAGGCGCTGTCTGGCTACCATCCAGATTGAGATCTTTCAAACCTCCAGGTGCTGTCTGGCTACCATCCAGATTGGGATCTTTCAAACCTCCAGGTGCTGTGTGGCTACCATCCAGATTGAGATCTTTCAAACCTCCAGGTGCTGTGTGGCTACCATCCAGATTGAGATCTTTCAAACCTCCAAGTTCTGTGTGGCTACCACCCAGATTGAGATCTTTCAAATCTCCAGGTGCTGTCTGGCTACCATCCAGATTGAGATCTTTCAAACCTCCAGGTGCTGTGTGGCTACCATCCAGATTGGAATCTTTCAAACCTCCAGGTGCTGTGTGGCTACCATCCAGATTGAGATCTTTCAAACCTTCAGGTGCTGTGTGGCTACCATCCAGATTGAGATCTTTCAAACCTCCAAGTTTTGTGTGGCTACCACCCAGATTGAGATCTCCTGATCTCAGGGTGTCAAACCTTTCTAAGTAGCAGACCAAAGGGGATAAACCAAGGCATACACACACTGATCACTACTGCAGCCAATGATAGTAAGTCAAGCTTACACATCAAACCAACAATAATTTTTCTAACCAATAAAATTAAAGCTGTTACATGTAAGTAACACAGTCATGATTCAACACCAAAAGAGAGTCATTAGCCAGCCACCTGTAATTTACACAAATGTTTACATCTGTTATAAAGAAGCAACAACAACAAAATGAGCAGTTTATTATGTACAAAGTTGATACATTTGATATAAATTCATAATATATTTGACAAACAGAAAACAGGTAAATTACAAACATACAAAACATATATATTTACTGTAGAACATAAAATAACCTGTAGAAAAAGTGACTATAAAACACCAAAGCATTCACAGTACCGCTGATAATTGAGACTTTGAGGCTGCAGAACTGTAACAGTCAGGCAACAGAGCTATATTAGCAATTATAATGATAATAAAGCAAGCATTCTTTGACAAATCATCAAGAAGGCTACACTAACAATTATAATGCTAATAAAACATCAACAGGCTACTCTGACAATTTTAATGATAATAAAATACCAACAACAGGGCTATTCAGACAATTATAGTGATAATTTAACATCAACATCAGGGCTACAGAGACAATTATAATGATATTTCCCCTTGGCGACACAGACCATTATAATTATAATTTAACATCAACAGCATGGCTATACGGATTATTATAATTACAATTTAACATCAACAATGGGGAGACATGAACCATTATAATTTAACAACAACAGGGCTACTGAAACAATTTTAATTATAATATAAAATCAATGACAGGGACATACAGACAATAAATCTATAACACCAACAACAGGGATACACGGACGGTTACATTGACAATAAAGCAACAACATCTATTTTGTCAATTACAACAATGAAAACATTGCATCTACCTTCATAATAATAAATCAACAGGGCTATGATGCTTAAATAATTGTGACAATCATGATACTAAATATATCAGATGATTTCATAGAGTTTACTGAGACGGTCGACTCTTGTGGCATTATTTATTTGGTTTTATTATTTTCTTTTAATGGTCTTCTTCTTTTGCTCTCTATCCCCAATGGAGCATAAGCCATCAAGCAACTGACGTCATGTGTGGCCCTTTCACCTGCCACTTCTTACAGCCCACTTCATGTCCTCCCTGCATTATTCACCTCTGTTTCTATCCCTTCTTCCCATGTTTGTCCGTACTTTGTTTTCCATAATCCCAAAATGTTAATCCCATAATATTCAATTTCTATGACCACTTTTTTACAATCCTTACCAATTTATACATTGTCTGACAGTCTGAGGAGAATGGCGCTGCGAGGAGTTACCAAGGTATCTGGATGACACTCAACACTCAAGGGAAAGGCAAGACGGATATACAATCAGATAGTTACTGGTGCCATTGGAATTGTAACTCTTCATTTGCTGCTGAAGATGGGGACAGAGCGCTTAGGGGGAGGGGGGTGTCCCGGGTGCTATTGATGTTGATTCTTAATTCAAAATTCAACATACATTGTTTGAACATTCCAGGTGTCAATTCTCTTCAGGGTAGATGTCCCTTATATAATGCTGGGGCCATTGAAAGAAACAAACAATACAGTATCCCCCCCCCCCCCTTTCCCCAGTCTTTCCCTATTTTCAGGAAAACACTGCAGAAATACTTTAATCTGCCATATCAGTTGTCAGAGGTAGCCAAAGGTGACAAAAATAACACTGGCTAGCTCAGCCCATATAAAACATTACCCAGTACCAATTTTAGGTCAAGTCGACCAGTGAACCAAGGCCAATTCTGACAAACTTCTGTTTATTTATGTAAAAAAATCTGACTTGATGCGGATTTGAACACAAGAGCTTTGGATCAGCAGATGAGAGTCTAACCACTATGCTTAGGTAGCTCCCAATAATGTTGTGCTAGCCAGATATTTATCTGAGTGATGTGGTAAAAATGTTTACATCCTCGATTTTTCCTAGTTCACATTTTTTACAAGCAAGAGATGAGAAAGAATTGCTTCAGCAGCATAGAGATTAAACAGCAGGCTGTGTTTGCAAAATCACTTTCACGTTTGTCCCAGGTCATGCTGGTGTGAAAGGCAATGAGAAAGCAGATGCTCTGGCTGGCAGTGCAACTATTAGGAATGGGCCCTCTATGGACAGGAGAAACATCATCAATGCCATACAAGAGACTAAACGCTGTGAGGCTTTCAGGGTTGTGGAAAATGATTTTTCACTGAATAGACTGTATAACCTGGGTGTACAAATTGGAGCAGAGAAACAGAAAAACCATGTGGCAGCCACCAGTCGTTACATCAACCAGAAAAGAATGGGATTTGTTACCATAAAATCAGTGGGCGACATACTCAGGAGATCAGAGTACTTATGGTTGTGCGCAATGAAGATTATTTTTAAATGAACAATGAAAGAGATTAAACAGCCTGATTTGGCAGCCAGGGCCACACTGTCTGCAAATGCCAGCTCTGATATACATCTCATGGTCTCATATTCCAGCGCCCTATTAAATAATGTCTTCTCCTTACAGGTCTTGATGACATCATCCATCAGAAGAAGGAAAGGGTAATAAACAGCCAGACAGTTTGGCTGAATCTGCACCACTGGTGGTGAATTGATGATACGCGACAAGGCAGATGTGGTCAAGGCCTTTTAAGAACAAGCAATGGAATTAGTAGAGATAGAAGGTTATTATGGCCTGGAGAGGATGAGGCATCTGGGTGCTGGCCGGCTCACTACACTCAGAGGAAAAGCAAGACGGACATTTAACCAGATAGTGACCTGTACCATCAGTACTGGAACTCTGCGCTGGCTGCTGAAGATGAGGATGGAGCACAAATGGAGTGATATATAAACTTTGTTTTGTGTGAAGATACTTATTTTTATGGAAGTCAGTATCTTCACCAAATAATAGTGCTCTGTTATGATGCTTTAAAAGATTCTTGAGAACAAAATCTAACGTATAGGTTGAGTTTATATTTTACTTACTCATTTCTAAGTGATTCATATTCATATGTGATTCATTCTGGATATATTTTAACAAGTTTTCTTTGAGTGCCATGGTGGTAAGTGGAATTTTTTATATTTTACTAATTTTCCTAAACATACCGTCTGTTTTTGTACTAATATCTAATTACTAACACAATTATTTGTTGTATTCTATAATTATTCCTCAACAATCCTTGGTCATTCTGATGTATAATATGTGTATGTTGAGCGGCAATTGAATTAGTATGGTCTGTTTTAACGTGTTACACTTATGAAATTTAAAAAATTGCATTACCACCCCTTGGTGTTAAACCCCCTGGGACTCAAAGTTAAATGTTTCTGAATTTTCATTTCCTGTTCTTATATTACTTCTTCAGCTCTTGTACTGCACTGATCCTCAGAAAATGAAATGAAACAAAATATAAATATCTAACAGGGACTACATACATCAAAACTGATAAACACCAACACAGGAACTAATGAACAAAGGCAAAAATTAACACTTACAATAAATACTTATCATTATCCTTATCATCATCATCATTATCATAGTCACTTTTATTATCATCACCATCATTATCCTGTCAGGTCATTGTATATTACATAGGGCAAGCACAGTATATTCTTCTATTCCATTTTATCCTGTATAATCCTTTCAATATCACAGATGGAATCCAATACAGCACTCTTGGGCCTTTTTCAGCAACATTCATCTTAGGGTTTCTTATGGTGATCATTATTTCCTCAAACCACTTGTTTTATATTTCCGTGCCTGTTTAGTTACTCTCTGTCTCCTCATGATGTACCCAATACATTGCCTTTTTTAAATTTGTTTATAACTGTTGGTACAAGCAACTGTCTACACATTTCTCTTATTTCGTTGCTCTTATTTAATTAATCCTTTTACTTCTTCTGCGTTCTTCCAAAGACATAAATACATTGTGCTTATTTACATCACGACTGTGATTTTGAAGGATGCACCTTCCAGCCAACACATCCAAAAAGTTCTAGCCCAGGTTAGCCTTCCAGGTTACTTTCGCAGGACACTGCAGTCTCATTGCTGTGTGGTCAGCTTTGTTTTCTAGTTCACTGATCGGTCTGGAGACACTAGGTGATGCTGGTCAGTCCTCAAGACAAGGCAGGGGCAGAACATAAGCATCCCCCGCCATCCAAGGAGATTTTCATAAATGCAGAGCCAATATATTTTTACTGGGCTTACCAAAGCAACAATTGTCTTGTTCTGCACATGACTGATTAACATCACTTCCGTATATGCAGCCTCCTGTTGGAATTCATCACATTTAGTGCTCATGACTCTCCTTAGGCAGACATTTTTGATTAATTTAACTTTCATTCTATATCTTCATTGGTAGACACTCAGGGTAATATAAAAACATTTCATACCAAAACTAATAATAATTATGAGAGAATATTGTGCTGAGATGTGCGTCATCTCTGACACGAAGTGCACAGTGCTGTTTGACCTGGTATATAGTCACGACAAGGACACAGCCGCTGGAGTGTGTCCATCCCGCCCACACAGCTGAAGAGCAACGGTTCATCTTGCGTGGTACAGGCCCGACTTTTCGTGTCAAAGGCAGGGTAGTAGATGTTTGCTGAGTGTGTCATCGACTGGCAGTCTGTGTGGTTGCCCAGCATCTCCTTGGTGTTGAGTTCGGGGAAGTAGCTTGGTGCACAAATCCTGCCTGGATTACAATACATGGTCAGCTACTGTGGTATTTGGTAAGATACTAGATATTGTAGTTGTGGCAGCAGTAGGAAAAGTAGCATAGTAGTAGCAGTAGCACTGTAGTAACAGTATCACTGCAGCAATAGTAGCATTGTAGTAGCAGTAGCACTGTAGTAACAGTATCACTGCAGCAATAGTAGCATTGTAGTAGCAGGAGCACTGTAGTAACAGTATCACTGCAGCAATAGTAGCATTGTAGTAACAGTATCACTGCAGCAATAGTAGCATTGTAGTAACAGTATCACTGCAGCAATAGTAGCATTGTAGTAACAGTATCACTGCAGCAATAGTAGCATTGTAGTAACAGTATCACCGCAGCAATAGTAGCATTGTAGTAACAGTATCACTGCAGCAATAGTAGCATTGTAGTAACAGTATCACTGCAGCAATAGTAGCATTGTAGTAGCAGTAGCACTGTAGTAACAGTATCACTGCAGCAATAGTAGCATTGTAGTAACAGTGGACAGATTGGCCAGAAGCGGCAGTGACATGGTACAACCAGATAGCGACTTAACCCACCAAGAGATGAAAACATTAATACAATCTAGTATCCAAGAAAGGTGGCTGGATACCCACACCAGATTTTCTCCCCAAGACTCACTTCATCACCTCTCTAGAGAGGGACAGTGTATTATATTCAGACTAAGGACTGAGCACAACAGATTTCGTCAACATATGTTCAAATTTTTCGGTGTAGGAAATACGGAGACGTATCCCTGCAGCGTGGCACCCGAAAATGCTGAGCATGTGCTACAACACTGTCAACTGTATGCTGACAACAGAGACGCAATCTGGCCTGTTCCAACCACAATGAAGACAAAACTGTATGGTACACAAGAGGATATGGATTGCACGATAGCTTTCATAAAGGCTACTGGCCTCCTGATATAAGTTTTCTGACAGAAGGATCGAAGAAGAAGAAGAAGAAGACTGCAGCAATAGTAGCACTCTAGTAACAGTAGCACTGTAGTAACAGTATCACTGTAGCAAAAATAGCATTGTAGCAGTAATAGCATATTACTCGACCACTGTGACTAGTGGCTCATTCTTAGATGTTTTATGCCAAGGTTTGATCTTATTCCACTTTTAAATGGAGAGTGAAAACAACTGATTTGTGAGTCAATTTGATTGAAAGTAACTTGTTAACATAAAAAGGGAATTATTCTGTATGGAAAAGAAATTCCAGTTGACAAATACACCTATCATCATCATCCTGTGGCATTTAATAACATTTACATGGAATAAATCAAAGTTCATGTTGGCCTATCATCCGTAGTTATTATGGACTCGAAGATAGCACAGTAGTGTTTGTTGCTGTCGGGCCAGTGTGATAACTTATGCAGGACACAAAGTATTAGCAACACATCCAGCAATTGGAAGACAAAGTGGCATATCAACAGAAAAGCCTAGACTAAACTTTGTAACTTCTTTAGATTCTCCAACCTCTAAGCAACAGCAGATGTCATATTAGCAGAAAACCACAAGTCTGTGACATCAGATTTAACAAACTACAGCTGTGTACATGTGTTTTTGTTTCTGTGTCTGGTTAGCTGTAAGGTGCGATGCAAAGTTTTTGTTTCTGTGTCAGGTTAGCTGTAAGGTGCGATGCAAAGTTTTTGTTTCTGTGTTTGGTTAGCTGTAAGGTGCGATGCAAAGTTTTTGTTTCTGTGTTTGGTTAGCTGTAAGGTGCGATGCAAAGTTTTTGTTTCTGTGTTTGGTTAGCTGTAAGGTGGGATGCAAAGTTTTTGTTTCTGTGTTTGGTTAGCTGTAAGGTGGGATGCAAAGTTTTTGTTTCTGTGTTTGGTTAGCTGTAAGGTGCGATGCAAAGTTTTTGTTTCTGTGTCTGGTTAGCTGTAAGGTGGGATGCAAAGTTTTTGTTTCTGTGTCTGGTTAGCTGTAAGGTGCGATGCAAAGTATTTGTTTCTGTGGTTAGCTGTGAGGTGCGATGCAAAGTTTTTGTTTCTGTTGTTAGCTGTAAGGTGCGATGCAAAGTTTTTGTTTCTGTTGTTAGCTGTAAGGTGCGATGCAAAGTTTTGTTTCTGTGTCTGGTTAGCTGTAAGGTGCGATGCAAAGTTTTGTTTCTGTGTCTGGTTAGCTGTAAGGTGCGATGCAAAGTATTTGTTTCTGTGGTTAGCTGTAAGGTGCGATGCAAAGTTTTTGTTTCTGTGTCTGGTTAGCTGTAAGGTGCGATGCAAAGTATTTGTTTCTGTGGTTAGCTGTAAGGTGCGATGCAAAGTTTTTGTTTCTGTGTCTGGTTAGCTGTAAGGTGCGATGCAAAGTATTTGTTTCTGTGGTTAGCTGTAAGGTGCGATGCAAAGTTTTTGTTTCTGTGTCTGGTTAGCTGTAAGGTGCGATGCAAAGTATTTGTTTCTGTGGTTAGCTGTAAGGTGCGATGCAAAATTTTTGTTTCTGTGTTTGTTTAGCTGTAAGGTGCGATGCAAAACGATTTCCCCTCTTCTGGTGGGCCGCGGGTGTAAAACAGGTTGAGGAACACTGCTCTATAGAACACTACAGAACTAATCCCACCATTTGTATTGCTCTTGTGGTTTCACTGTCGCCATCTGTAGCTTGGGCATTGTTAATGCTCTTTGTAATGCTTGGGTGCCAGGCTCGATCCCAGCTGCAGTCAATTTGGCAGCAGACTGCCTTGCAATGGTTTTTCAGCACTGGTATCAAATTAGGGGTGAACAGATATATGACAAGGCAGATGTGCTTAAGGCGCTTTGGGAACGAGCAAAGGAATCAGTAGAGAAACAAGATTATTATGGCCAGGAGAGAATGAGGCACCTGGGTGTAACCAGAGGGTCTGGCCAGCTAACTACAGGAAAGGCAAGATGCCAGATTGTGACCGGTTCCATTAGTATTGGAACTCTGCGCTGGCTGCTGAGGATAAGGACAAGGCACACATAGGAATGCCCTGAGAGCTGTGATGTCAATTCTTGACTCAACTCAACTCAAATCAACTGGTATCAAGAGCCAACCATCCTAAAAGCAATGGCAAACTACTGGACATAAGGTCGCCTAAAAAACCAAAACAGATAAAATGTTTGGGTTGGTCTGCAACGTCCTGTAAAGGATTCACAGCTAACTTGTGGTTTCACTAGGAAATTTTACAATCAGTAGTTTGCCATTGCTTCTTAATGATTGGCTCTAGATACCATGTTTAAACCAAGGTGGTTTGCTACCAGATCACCCGAAGCTGGATTGAACCCGGCACTCCAGAACTGAAAAGCTTACAAGCATGGCTAACAAGTATGACATAAATGGCAACTAATTAGGGGTTTGTTGAAGTCGGATGTACTGGACCAAAAAGTTTAGATACTGCAGCCTAGCTGTAAAGCACAAACACAATGTGCCAGATGCATTTCTGAGTGGGAAGAAAGTCCACCACCCTTAGAACATGAGGCCAGTGACTGAACCACAGTGTGCCTATCAAACAGGACCACAAACACTTTAGAACATTCTGCAGACCTGCCCACTCTACCAACAACTTCGAAAAGACACCTGGCCTCAAGAGCAAAGTGTGCAGAGCAAGCTATGGGGTACCATGAAGGACCTGCTGCTGACATGCAAGTTCATAGAGACAACCCACCTGATGGTCTGATCTGAGCATATGAAACCGAATGCAAAGAAGAAGAAAAAGAACCACTTTGTCGTGGAGATTCCTGTGTGTTAGTAACAGAAGTCATCTTCTGGATTTCTAGAAATACTAATTTACAAAGACCTTCTTTCTCTTTTCTGTTCACCATTAAAAGAGTAGCTAGCATGCTGTGTTGTGGTTTACAGCAAGGCTGTGATATCTGCACTCTTCGGCCCAATACATCCAATTTCAGTAAACCCCTAACAAGTGCCTTCTACAACATGCCTGTTAAGGGGGCTGTGGTTCTATTGTCCCCATCCCCCCCCCCCCCTTTCCAAAACAGGATCTGGGAACCCATACAGGAAAATACATAGAAGATATCCATTGCCAAGGCCCACCAAAGCAGACCTACCTTTTACCCAGCATGCATCCTTGCAAGACTTCCCTGGCTCGCCGAACACTATCTCCACTGACTGCCTTGGAGGCCAACGCACCTGGTTGCGTTGGAATGAGCAGAAGTTCTGGTTTTCAATAAAGACATTCATGCGCTGCAGCATTCCTTCCTCTGTGTATTCATAGGGCAGGAATGAGGAAAACTGTCAATGGAATCATAGAAAAAAAAAATGTTACTTATTAGTCGTTGTCCATATCTTCATCAGTCCAACCTATCTGTGCTCCATCCTACAATGCAGCGGCCATCTCAGTGTCACTATGCTCACCATATGTTTATTGGCACAACTTCTTTCTTTGCCCCCCTCCCCCCCCCCCCCCCTCAAAACCAGTTTCAGCAAGTCTGTCGTCATTCAATACACATTTCCAACAGGCAGTTGATCATCTCTTGATTCTTCTGTCTCAATGCCTTTGGAATGTTCTGCACTCATTATGTCTGACCTGTCCACACTTCTTCCTCCCCAAACTACAGCAGACATGGCCAGCCTGTCAGCTCTTTCATTTCTTCAGTTTCTTCAGGTGGGATGCTATACTCAAATTCTAGTCAGAGTTTGCCGACTCATATCTGATAAGCTTACAATCAAATGTGCTGGCATTCACATATGATCAGAATTATGAAACAAACAAATACTTTTTAATAAAACACTGTACATTTTAGAAATGTCTTTTCTTCCTCATACTATTGCTCTTTTATTTTAAGCATATCATATATTTTCCCTACATTTATTACATTAGTACCTTGTGATTTGAGACAATCTGACACCTTATAATTAGTGAATTATCACACCTTATAATTAGTGAATTATCACACTTTGTGATTGGAGAGAATCTGATACCTTAGAAATTATCATACTTGTGATTGGAGAGAATCTGATACTTTAGAAATATCATACCTTTTGACTGGAGAGAATCTGATACCTTAGAAATATCATACCTTTTGACTGGAGAGAATCTGATACCTTAGAAATTATCATACCTTGTTATTGGAGAGAATTCGATCAACAATGGCTGCCACTTCCTTTGTATTGTTTATGTTTATGGTGTAAACATATGGTTCTCCAATAAAAGTCTCGGCATACGGATGCTGGGAAACGATCTGGATACACAAGGAAAACATAGAATCAAGGTTGAATTGTTAGGCACTGTTCATTATTATACCTCCTTTCTTATTCTGCCCACTTCTCTTATCCTGCCTCCTTCTCTTACTTTTCATCTACCTGGCCCTCCTCTTCCTTCTCCTATATTTCTTGAATTGAACAAATATGAACAATGTTGAAACAGAGATAAATAAAAACAAAGCGAATATAAAATTGAAATTTTAAAAAGTTACAATTGAGCAAATTAAAACAAGTGAAACAAAGTTAAAATAGAAACGAAGTTATAAATGAGAAAAGTTAAAATTAAAATAACTGAGTCAAAATGGTGCCAAGATAAACTGAAACAAAGTTTAAATAACTAAGTTAAGAAATAGACCAAACAAATAGAAACTGAATTAAAAAAGAAAGAAAACAAAGTTAAAATAACTGAGTTAAATGTTGAATGTTGAATTAAGAATCCACATCACAGCACTCGGGACACCCCCATAAGCATTCTGTCCCCATCTTCAGCAGCAAGTGAAGAGTTAAAATTCCAATGGTACCAGTAACTGTCTGACTGTATATCTGTCTCGCCTTTCCCCTGAGTATCCCTTGTAACTCCTCGCAGTGCCATTCTCCGCAAACCGTAATGATCTGTCTGTTCCTCTGCACTGTTCACTCACTCCCAAAGGGCCCTAACAACATCCAGCCTGTAATATATAAATTCATCTACAAGTGGTGCAGAACCTGCCAGTCTATCTACCTGCTCATTTCCCAACACACCGGCATGACCTGAATAGAATAACTAAAGGATGCTAACTACCCGGGAACTCTGAAGTGATGCTCGCAACCCTGCACAAAGCATGCCTGTCTCCACCTTTCCCAGCATGCTCTGTGAGCCAGTTACAAACATGACATGTGTGTACAGCTGATTCTCAAGCCAGCGGACGGGTGCAGTGACTGCCTCCACCTCCATTCTCAAACTAGACGTTGTGATATAACTGAGTTAAAATAGACTCAAATTAACAACACTTTTAACTTTGTTTTATTTCACTTTGTTTTAATTTGTGTCTTTTGTAACTGAGTTAAAATAGGCACAAATTAAAACAAAGTTAAAATAAGGAAAGATTTAAAACTAAATTTTTTTTTTTTTTAAATCAGAAGAAAAGTCAGACAATAAAAAATATGAACAATGTGAAACACAGTACACACAGGAATAAAAATCATTAAGAAGTTGGAACTTGAAAAGTGCAAGAGGAATAGAATGCTGTATATGCATAATTCCCAAATTAGGAAATTTAGTTGCATATCCTTTTCTGGACTTTGCAGAATTATTTATTTTTTTTTTTTTTTCGTTTTTCGGGATGCTGACCATATCACCCATCTTGTGCAGATTATTGGTCTTTAAAAGATAGGTCTAGCTCTATATGCCCTATACGCCTAAATGCGTGGAAAAGGGTCCTTTACTTACTTTACTTTACTAAAATTAAAAAGCACAAAATCTTTTTTTTTTTAAATAACAACAAAAGAGATGAGATGTAGATGAGCTGCTAGAGTAACAAGAAAAGATAACATTAGAGGTGAAGAAATTCGTTTTTTTTTTAAATTAACTAGGCCCTGTAACCAGTCATTCAGTTTATTAGAGAACAACAGTTGAGATGTTTTGGCCATATGACCAGAATGCTCTGGTACCAGCTGCAGCTGCTACAGAGAGCTAGATGGAACAACAGAGTGAAGGGAAGACCATGCAAAATATATAGAACGACAGAATCAAGAACAGCCTTAAACAAATTGATTTTAACACATTCGAAAAAAAACATGCAGAAGACCCTCACATTGTTCCCCTATAAAAAAAAAAAAAGAAGAGAAGGAGATTCTGAAAAATGAATTTGGATCCTGTGCTACAGAGTGCATTATTTGTGCTGAGATTTTCCTTGCATGATATGGAGGAGGAGGAGACAGGAGCATTCATGGATGAGATACCAATATGATCTTTTATAAACCAGAAGAAAACTAATGAATTCACTATGATCATCACTATACAACAGCTCACTTCTCTCTGTGTTGGCTTCCCCTTGAAGAATTTGTTGTTCTTGCTACTGTGTGGAGGATCAAACTTTGGGTTCAGAAACACGGCTCCATTAGCGATGGCTTCCAAGGGTGCTGGACCCTCGTAGGGAAACCCCAACCCAACAAATATCTGAAACAATTCGAAAACCAGAGAGTTACCAGAGCCAGTAGGGGAAGAAAAGAACAGTGAGCCTGTAGCATATCATGACTACGAGAGAGGGGCTCACGAAGGTTAATGTCATACCCACTGCCTCATTCCTATAAGTGCTCCATCACCATCTTCAGCAGAGAGTGCAGAGGTTCCAGTCCTGATGGTATCAGCATTGGTCTCACTGTAAGTCTATTTTGCATTTTTCTGAAGTGTTGGGTGTTTGCCAGATGCCCTGGTCACTCCCCACTGACCAATTCTCTCCAGAACTTTATGATCTATTTGTGCCTCTCCATTTTTCACTTCCTTTTTAAAGGGCATTTCCCACATCTAGAACACCATTCAGCAATTTACCACCATGTAGAGCATTCACATAAGTGCTCCGACTGTATCTTTAGCAGCCAGTGCAAAGGACAAATTCTGATGGAATTGCAGTAGCAGTCTGACTGCATGTTTTGTGTTTCCCCTGAGTGGAGCATTGACCAGATTCTCTGGTCACTCACTACTACATCATTCTCTCCAGATCTTGAAGATCTTTCTGTGTTCCTCTGCACTGTTCACTTGCTTCCACCACAGGGCCCTGACCATATCTAGCATTTCATGCCTAAATATACCACCCAGTGGAGAAGTACAAGTAAATCTGCCTGCCTGTTCATTTCCCAACACACCAGCATAGCTTGGAAAAAATATCACTTGGAAAAATGCCACTTTGCACAGAGCATACCTGTTTCCATCTTTCTTAGCATATTTTGTGAGACTGTTACACTCACAATCTGCATGTGCAGCTGCTTCTTAAACCTTTGTATAGTACCCTCACCTTAGTTTTGTATAAATTTTCTCATCTAAGATTTATATACTTATTCTCACCTTAGCTATATGTATGTGTGTGTGTGTGTTTATACACACATACATATACACACCCATCCACCCCACACATGCATGCATGCATGCACACACACACACACACACATTTTTCTTACCTTAGCTTTCTGTAGCAGTTTATGGAGGTCGACGCCCGTTAAAATCCCATGGTTGATCACATAGTCAGGAACATGCTTGAGCTTCTGCTGGGGATCCTCATAAACTGTGCCATGGACTTCCAGCCTAGAGTGTATCACATCCAGGTACGCTTTCTTTCCCTGCCAGTTTTAATTCACGACAGACTTTTCAGGACAATTTATACAAACAAGCAAGTAAAGATAATTCATCCCAGCTTTACATTTAATCCATCAATATCAGATTAGTGACTGGAATGTAGAAGTACGTCACACCCTGAAGTGGTGCCTCCAGTACCAAGGCTCATACTGGTCAAAACCTATCTGCACTGTTGTCAAGACCTATCTACACCTCTATCAAGACCTATCTGCACTGTTGTCAAGACCTATCTACACCTCTATCAAGACCTATCTGCACTGTTGTCAAGACTTATCTACACCTCTATCAAGACCTATCTGCACTGTTGTCAAGACCTATCTACACCTCTATCAAGACCTATCTGCACTGTTGTCAAGACCTATCTACACCTCTATCAAGACCTATCTGCACTGTTGTCAAGACTTATCTACACCTCTATCAAGACCTATCTACACCTCTATCAAGACCTGTCTACACATCTATCAAGACCTGTCTATACCTCTATCAAGACATGACTACACCCCTATCAAGACATGACTACACCTCTATCAAGACATGACTACACCTCTATCAAGACTTATCTACACCCCTATCAAGACATGACTACACCTCTATCAAGACATGACTACACCTCTATCAAGACTTATCTACACCTCTATCAAGAACTATCTACACTTCTATCAAGACATGACTACACCTCTATCAAAACATGACTACACCTCTATCAAGACCTATCAATTGGAGCTTCTGAACTGGCATGTTAAAGAAAATTATTAGAAAACCGTGGAGCATCGAGGAGAACTGGCTCATAAACAGCATCCTGTCCTGAAAGCTGAGATATTTTGGTCATATGAAACATCATAGTGGTCTGGAGAGAACAATGATGGGGGGAACAGTGATGGGGGGAACAGTGATGGGGGAACAGTGATGGGGGGAACAGTGATGGGGGGAATAGTCTCAGGGAAATGAGGCAAAGGCAGACCTCTATGAATGTGAGACATTGATGCAGTTGCTGTGAAAGCACAGTGTTGAAGATTTGGCTAGAGAAAGACTTTCAGGTGTGCCGTGAAGAGAGCGACATTCTGCAAAGGACAGGATGATTGACACTGATGATCAGGAGCCTGGCTAGCACAGACAGGATCAACGTTTCCTTTAAAGTTAGGGCATCTACCTGAGAGGCAAGGAACAGTCAGAACACAAGAAGTACATATGGGGGCATCTGTAGAGAACTGGCCATTTGCTTCATGCTCTGAAGGTCGCAGCTTTATTTTCATAGATGGGTCATTTACTTTATGAGTGCAGTTTTTATGGGATTGTTGATGCAGCTATGAAGTTTGTGCTTTGTGTGGTGCTCTCAGTAGATGACTAGCTGTTATGCAGAGCGAGACTGGGATAATGAAGTGATTCCCTCAACTGTAACAAATAAACCATCAACCTGACCGTCCCACAACAGTGAGTGTCGTTGGGTCACCAACTGCTTGACTGGTCACAGCAACTGCTGTAGATCTTATTATTTGTCCATAACATTGCATTTTCTATCTTTTCACTGTAGTTACCATCACACAATAAACCAGATCTGAAAATGAGTTCCAATTCCAAATGGTACCAGTAACCCATGCTGATTACAAGTAGAGTTCATGCTGAATTAAGAATCGACATCGTCTCATCCTTTCTCTGAGTGTTGAGTATCGGCCAGATCCCCTGGTAACTCCTCACAGCGCCATTCTGCTTAGACCGTAATGATCTATCTGCGCCTCCGCACTGCTTACTTGCTCCCAAAGGGACCTCATAATATCTAACTTGTCATTCACAGTTCACAACTGGAGAACAAAGAACAGACAACTTCTCCAGCCCCTTAAAAGCATGTTGTAGCAGGTAACTAAGAATGGGTACTTCCTTCAAAGTCAGACTGCATCTGTCTGAGAGGCAAGAAAGCAACAGTCAACTTAAAATATTAATAAGCCACATCTGTAAAAATGGATGAGCATGCAAAACTCAAGTTCTGGATCAAGACCAAAGTCTAGGAGTGGATGAACAATCAGAACTTCCCACCTGAGTTTACAGCTTGTGTACATTTCAGGGGAAAAAAAGTACAATCACGGAGTACTTACCTCCCACATATAGTCATTTTTGCCATACACAACAGCAATGTTACTTTTGTTGTTTAATGTGTCAGAGTCGTTCAGCACCCTGTCCACCACAAACCCCATGAAAGAGTTGTCGGGAGAGTGGGCTGTAATCAGAAGAAACAAAATAGAGTTGTCGGGAGAGTGGGCTGTAATCAGAAGAAACAAAATAGAGTTGTCGGGAGAGTAGGCTGTAATCAGAAAGAAAACAAAATAGAGTTGCCGGGAGAGTGGGCTGCTGTAATCAGAAGAAACAAAATAGAGTTGTCAGGAGAGTGGGCTGTAATCAGAAGAAACAAAATAGAGTTGTCGGGAGAGTGGGCTGTAATCAAAAGAAACAAAATAGAGTTGTCAGGAGAGTGGGCTATAATCAGAAGAAACAAAATAGAGTTGTCAGGAGAGTGGGCTATAATCAGAAGAAACAAAATAGAGTTGTCCGGAGAGTGGGCTATAATCAAAAGAAACAAAATAGAGTTGTCAGGAGAGTGGGCTATAATCAGAAGAAACAAAATAGAGTTGTCGGGAGAGTGGGCTGCTGTAATCAGAAGAAACAAAATAGAGTTGTCGGGAGAGTGGGCTATAATCAGAAGAAACAAAATAGAGTTGTCCGGAGAGTGGGCTGTAATCAAAAGAAACAAAATAGAGTTGTCAGAAGAGTGGCCTATAATCAGAAGAAAAACAAAACACACAAAAAATTCAAGTAATTGAAAACGTTTTATAACAATGCGACCCCAATATGAAATTAATTGATGAGGATACAAACAACACTGCACCATTTTCTGCCTTCCATTTTTCATATTTGTGGAGGTGAGAATGTTGAGAAGAATGCTAACAATATCAAGAAATGATAGAAAACAAAGCAGTTCTCCTAAAGACAGATGAAAACCATCAACTGAAAAGATAAATTCAATGTAGACCAGTGGTCTCCAAGCTAGGCATGAGGAAGTTCCAAGGAAAGGTTGGGCAGGGAGTGTCAAGCAATTCAGAAAATCAATGCATTTGTACTTTTAATAATCTGTTATACTTACATTTTGTTTTAGTTTAATTATAAATACAACTAGCTGTTAAACAAAATAAAAGGACATTTTTGTTTTACTTAAGCCGTTTCTATAGCTACTGTTAAAATGTAATTAGAAGGATAACATGCGCCTTTAATTATAGATTAAGAACACATTCTGACCAAAATGTATCTCCATACTTTTACTTGCTACGGAATTTACTGTCCCCTTCTTTTTAATCACATTTTGTTATGTTGAAAAGAAGGTGTGGGGATCTTGTCATGTACTCAAGAGGGGCGCGAGGGTCTTGTCATATATACAAGGGGGGTGTAAGGGTCTTATCCTATATACAAAGGGGTGCTATCTGAAAAAAAAAAAAAGTTTAAGACCACTGATCTAGACAGTTTGTGTTTTTCAGACATGTCATGAGAATGATGGACTCAAGAACTTGGTAATGACTGGCAAGACTGAAGGAAAGAGAGCACTGACATGATCTGCGATTCTAGTAATCATGTGTGATGGCAAAACATAAGAGGATATGCTTATCGATATGGCACATAATGAAGATATTTCATGACATCATGTCAAGTTCATTATTACAGAGTTGATATGAACACATAATCAAGCACAAACATGGATCCTTTCTTGTAATTGAAATACACAAGTCACACTTCCTCCCCCTCCATCCTTCCACGCAACAATACACAAAATATACAAGCCATACATTCAATAAGCTAACTATTTTGAAGACCCACCCTGGCTGTGGTTGGGGGCCCTAATTATAACCCCTTGGGTTGAATGGGGTTTCTTGGACTGTCCCTAGATGATCCTCATCTGAATGGTGGCACTTTGTGCTACTGGGTGATTATGATTCCAGCATTTGTAATTAAGACTGAGATATTGCTGATGTCTATTATCTGTTAAATGATGTGTGAGTGTAATACTGTGTGTAAGGAGTGTTTGTTTGTTTTCTCCCCTTCTCTCTCTCTATGTCTCTCTACAAGAGCAGTTTGAAAAGTAATGCCTTCAAGGACATAACTTTGTTAATACACAAAATGTACATACAAAACAAACATTTTTCAAAAACTTTGGATGTCCTTGAAGGAGGGTGTCATCATTTGTCAATGTAGTCACCACCACATTCCACATACGCATGCCAGCATCAAATAAGTTGTCACAATCCGTATCAAATAAGTTGTCATACTCCGTATCAAATAAGTTTTCACACTCCGTATCAAATAAGTTGTCACACTCCGAATCAAATAAGTTGTCACACTCCGTATCAAATAAGTTGTCACACTCCGTATCAAATAAGTTGTCACACTCCGTATCAAATAAGTTGTCACACTCCGTATCAAATAAGTTGTCACACTCCGTATCAAATAAGTTGTCATACTCCGTATCAAATAAGTCGTCACACTCCGTATTAAATAAGTTGTCATACTCGGTATCAAATAAGTTGTCACACTCCGTATCAAATAAGTTGTCACACTCCGTATAAAATAAGTTGTCACACTCCGTATCAAATAAGTTGTCACACTCCGTATCAAATAAGTTGTCACACTCCGTATCAAATAAGTTGTCACACTCCGTATAAAATAAGTTGTCACACTCCCACCCAATCAAATAAGTTGTCACACTCCGTATCAAATAAGTTGTCACACTCCACATCAAATAAGTTGTCACACTCCGTATCAAATAAGTTGTCACACTCCGTATCAAATAAGTTGTCACACTCCGTATCAAATAAGTTGTCACACTCCATATCAAATAAGTTGTCACACTCCGTATAAAATAAGTTGTCACACTCCACATCAAATAAGTTGTCACACTCCACATCAAATAAGTTGTCACACTCCGTATCAAATAAGTTGTCACACTCCGTATCAAATAAGTTGTCACACTCCGTATCAAATAAGTTGTCACACTCCGTATCAAATAAGTTGTCACACTCCGTATCAAATAAGTTGTCACACTCCACATCAAATAAGTTGTCACACTCCGTATCAAATAAGTTGTCACACTCCGTATCAAACAAGTTGTCACACTCTGTATCAAATAAGTTGTCACACTTCGTATCAAATAAGTTGTCATACTCCCTATCAAATAAGTTGTCACACTCCATATCAAATAAGTTGTCACACTCCGTATCAAATAAGTTGTCACACTCCACATCAAATAAGTTGTCACACTCCGTATCAAATAAGTTGTCACACTCCGAATCAAATAAGTTGTCACACTCTGTATCAAATAAGTTGTCACACTCCGTATCAAATAAGTTGTCACACTTTGTATCAAATAAGTTGTCACACTCCACATCAAATAAGTTGTCACACTCCGTATCAAATATGTTGTCACACTCCGTATCAAATATGTTGTCACACTCTGTATCAAAAAAGTTGTCACACTCTGTATCAAATAAGTTGTCACACTCCGTGTCAAATAAGTTGTCACACTCCACATCAATATAAGTTGTCACACTCCGTATCAAATAAGTTGTCACACTCCGTATCAAATAAGTTGTCACACTCCACATCAAATAAGTTGTCACACTCCGTATCAAATAAGTTGTCACACTCCATATCAAATAAGTTGTCACACTCCGTATCAAATAAGTTGTCACACTCCGTATCAAATAAGTTGTCACACTCCGTATCAAATAAGTTGTCACACTCAGTAGAGAAAAAAGTTGGAGAATTTTTCATGAAGCTAGGAATGTACATCATCTGCCACATCTTTATCAGAAGTGTATTTGCTTCTTTTGAGATGTTCCTTGAGCTTTGGAAAGAGCAAAAAGTCACAAGGTGCCAAATTGGGATATACTGGGTACACTAAAATGTTGTCATAGTTGAGACGCTCCAATGCTTCCGTTGTTTGTCTTTGAAAAATTATGTGTCTGCAAAACAAACACGCAGCAATCTTGCTTCTAGTTTCTGCAAAGTTTCCACACAGCGATCAGAGTTGATAGCATTGCAATGCTTTAAAAATTATATGTGGATCACACCCTAGTAGTTCCAGAAAATGGCCATCAAAATCTGTCCTACCAACATGGCATTCTTGAACTTTTCTGAAGTAGGTGAGTTCTTATACCTGTATTCCACAGAATATCATTTGTTTTCAAGGTGATAATGATGTAAATGCAGTAACAATTTAGTAGATAAAGGAATCACCTTCCCGTTCATAACACGTATTTTTGATGCGTATTCCTAAAGCAAAGCCTACCCGTTCATAATGTGTGTTCCTGAAGCATCGAGTTCCCGTTCATAATGTGTGTTCCTGAAGCATTGAGTTCCCGTTCATAATGTGTGTTCCTGAAGCATCGAGTTCCCGTTCATAATGTGTGTTCCTGAAGCATCGTGATCCCATTCATAATGTGTGTTCCTGAAGCATCAAGTTCCCATTCATAATGTGTGTTCCTGAAGCATCAAGTTCCCATTCATATTGTGTGTTCCTGAAGCCATCGAGTTCCTGTTCATAATGTGTGTTCCTGAAGCATCGAGTTCCTGTTCATAATGTGTGTTCATGAAGCATCGAGTTCCAGTTCATAATGTGTGTTCCTGAAGCATCAAGTTCCCATTCATAATGTGTGTTCCTGAAGCATTGAGTTCCCATTCATAATGTGTGTTCCTGAAGCATTGAGTTCCAGTTCATAATGTGTGTTCCTGAAGCATCGAGTTCCAGTTCATAATGTGTGTTCCTGAAGCATCGAGTTCCCATTCATAATGTGTGTTCCTGAAGCATCAAGTTCCCATTCATAATGTGTGTTCCTGAAGCCTCAAGTTCCCGTTCATAATGTGTGTTCCTGAAGCATCGAGTTCATCCGCTGCGAGTCTGATTATGCAGATCCGACAAGGCTGGATTGCTGCCTGTTACAGTCCTTTCTCACCTCCTAACGGTACTGACATCCACACAGATGTCACCATATACCACTCTCATTCCTCGATGCATGTTGATGGGTTCACAACCTTTAATTGTCAAGAATTTAGTAACAGTTTGTTGCTTTAACCAAATTTCAATGTATGTCACCACTTCAGATAATGTTGTGCGCATGCACCACTTTCCACACACGTGACGATTCATGTCTTGAAAGTCACTTACTCATACAATATTGCCACATCTGTATTATTTGCCTTCTCGCACTATTAACAATGTTATGTCCTTGGAGCTATTGCTTTTCAAACAGCCCTAGTATTTCTGTACTAATTTTCTGCTTCTCTCTGTGCCTTTCTTTCTGTCTTTTACTATATTTCTATCATTATCTCTACCTCTGTTTTTCTGTCTCTTTCTCAGCCTGTACCTGTCTGTATCATTTGCTATAGTTTTTTCAGCATTTCTGTCTCTTTGTCTGTATTTCTTTTCCTCTTTGTGCATGTCTGTCTTTATATATCTATTCATACAAGATCGTCTATATATACAAAAATTTTTAATGAAAAGAATGTACAACAAATTCACAGCTCACAAAATAAAGTGTGTATTCTGTTTTTCTAGCTCTAAATAAGTCTATTTTGCTAACATACCTAAACTTGGCATATCCAGCTTTGAGTCGTTTCTTAAACTGAATGAGGCCCATGATATCCGTGTATATCAGGTGAACTGGCAGCTCTTTCCTGCTCTGGCAAGGAGTTTTTGCTGCAGGCACATGATTGAGAATTCTAGTGGAAGACAAGTAAAAACAATTAATTTAGGATTCTAAAGGACACAGACAAATCCAGTCATGACTAAGAAGTATAACAGAAGACAGGTCAAAACAATTATGACTAAGTTTTCTGGCAAGTTTCAGCCCAGCACTTCTGATTTAAGCAAACCTTTAATTAGTTATCTTTTGTGTCGTGTTTGTGTGTGTGTGTGTATATATATATCAGCAGTCACAACAAGACATGGCTCAACACACCACGCCTTCACAAGCAAATTTAGATCAACACAGCAAGAGGTTCAGCTATACACACAGAGAAGCCATGGAGAAATAGAATACTCACTCCACCAGTTGCTCCACCTCACTGGTGACTGTAATTTCATGTCCAAGTATGTATAAAGTGGAGATGAGGTCACTCCACTGGACAAGCTCCCCGAGTGGACCTCCTGGTAGAAATTGACACAAATGAATGCAACATACTCTAATATTTGGGACGTATAAAACATACTGTTGTATAATAATTTTTAAAAATGCCCCTTCTATATTATAGTAAAGAATGTCCTTGTTATTAAAGTACAAAAGTACAGACATTACAGCGTGAAAGCATGTTGCTATTAGAGTACAGAAGTAACTTGGTATCGAGAGTACAGAAGTAACTCAATTATTACAGTGTAAAAGTACCTTGCCATTAGAGTACAGAAGTACATTAATAGAATGCTAAAGTATCCTGGTATTAGAGTACAGAATTTGCCTTGATATTAGAGTAAAGAAGTACTCTGGTGTTGGAGTATAGAAGTGCCCTTTTAATAGAGCATAGAGATGTGGTTATATTAAAGTAGAAAAGTGCTTTGATAGAATAGTATAGAAGTACCTTGATATTAGAGTAGAGAAGTGCTTTGATAATGGAGTATAGAAGTACCTTGATATTAGTGTACACAATTAACTGGATATATGCATGCAAAAGTGCCTTAATACTACAGTCTGTAATTAGGCTACAGAAATAACTTGATATTAGAGTATAGAAATATTTTATATTAGAGTACAGAAGTAACTTGATATTACAGTACAAAAATATTTAATATTAGAGTATGGAAGTAACTTGACACCAGAGCATATTATTATTTGATATGAGTACAGAAGTAATTTTATTTTGGAGTAAAAAAGTAACTAGATATTAGAGCATTGAAATATTTGATATTATAGTACAGAATTAACTTGATATTATAGCACTGAAGTATTTGATATTACAGTACAGAAGTAACTAGTTTTTCCTTTTCTACTCTGGGCTGTGAGACACTTCATTCAGAGTAACAGAAAACAAAGTCTGAATATTATATATACTAAACAAACAGACATGTATTGATCGGCACTTGTTTATTCAACCTATGCTTCATTAATATAAATATATGTAACCTATGATACCCTTTCAATGGTTTAAGATGAATTCTGTTTGTATTCTATAGTTGTGGATTCAAGCTGTATGACAGACATGGCTAACGAAAATACCAATGTTTTTAGGGTGCCTAGTTGGTCATGTGTCTTAGCACACTTGTTTTTGCAGCAATAGGCTGTCACCATTTTGAAGTAACAAGTTTGACTCCTGGCACGGTAACCATAGCTTTGGATTTTTATGTTGTCCAGTGTGTCCTTCAATTTGCCTCTGCTTTCTATAAGGGTCAAACAATGCACACGTTTCTTTATTATATATAATGTATCTACAGCCCCAAGGATTCACCATCTGTTTAAAGACTGAACATAAACATTCCTGCATGCTAACTGATGCAGTTTTTCTTAAACATATTTTTTTCCTCTCTTGCTCTCCAGTATTTTCCATAACAGACTTTCGTGACATTCTCTGGGCACTTCATGAGATGGCAAAAGTGGAATTTGTTTTGGAAAGAGGGAAGCTGGAGAGGAAAAGAAAAGAGGCAGGAGATGTAGAAAGATGAGGTAAGAGAGTTTGGCGTCTTTTTTCTAACATCATATATAAAATATGATTGGCAGCATTTGCAGCAGAAGGCTGTGCATAGATACGATGGTCGATGTCTCATGGCATTTAGACTTTTCAAAACAAATGTCCAAGAAACATGCTGCAAACTTTCTGACCAAACAAGACCATAAATAGAGAATTGAGGAGGAAAACAAAATGTCTATCACCGGTAAATGTTATCAAAAGACGAAGATAGAAATGGCTTGGACACGTCTGCAGAATGCCTCATAACACTATAGCTAGGGTGGCTCTCTGGCAGACAACAGAGGAAAATAACAGACAGTTAGCTGAAAGGCAATTAAAGGAATATAAACCGATATGGGATATCCTGGGCGTAAAAGCAGCAGAGCATAGATCACCTGTGAATGCCTTATGTGTCATCAATTGAATGAAGAGGATAAAGACAGATTTACATTAGAAGAAAAGTCAAAACAACATTCTTCTGATTCTTGATCTTCTCCTTCTTAGCATTCACCAGCTGTAAACTCTGGCGGGAAGCTTTGGTTGTTTGTCTACCCTGGACTTAAGTCATGTTCCAGGACTTGAGTTTTGCATGCACGTCTGTCTTACAGATCTGACTGATTTGTGTGCAGACTGTTGGTTCCTCAACTGTCAGGCAGATGCACTCAAACTTTGAGGGTAAAACTCTTAATTAGCTACATTTTATGACATGCTTGTGGGGATGAGGGGATGGGGGAGGGGGCAGAAGGTCTATTCTGTGTTCACCAAAAACAGAACCCATGCCAGTATGAGGTATTCTAGGTATATATGAGTCCTATTTTACAAAGTCATCCCAGGTACAATAACAGAGAAGAACAGAAGCTAAAGTTTAAAAAAAAAAACAAAGAATGGAAGCCATAGTATAATAAAAACAAAGAAAAGAAGCTAAAGTACAATAAAAATCAAGAACAGAAGCCATAGTACCAACAACAACAAAAAACAGAACAGAAGCCACAGTAGTAAAATAAAGACAAGCAGAAGCTAAAGTAAAATTTAAAAAAAAAACATACAACAAAAGCCAGAGTACAATAAAAACAAAGAACAGAAGCTACAGTGCAATCAAACAAACAAGAAGTGAATGTAATGAGAGTGACCAGTGCAAACAAACCTTTAAACTGCATCTCTGCAAACTTCCAACCAGACTGTTTACTCAACAATCCAAGATGCACTAAAATCTTGCAAAAGTACAAATGAAATGGTGAGATGAACAGTTTAAATAAAAAAATAAATACAATAATTTAGAGGTATTCTTAAGAGAGAGAGTGGCGTCTGTGGCTTAGGCGTTGCGAGTCTGACTCGTAATTTCAGCGTACCGCGATCAAAACCCACTGCTGGCTGCGTGGAGTTTTATCATGATATGGGGGCGTCACAGCCTAAAACGGGTACCAGGATGGCTGTCCTTGGGAAGTAAAGACAGCCGGCGTAATGCTGACCATATTACCCTCCTAGTGCTGATTGGTCTGTAAAAATATGGGTGCGCTGCCCATTTGCCTGATGCGCCTACTGGTGTGAAATGGGATCTTTACTTTACTTTACTTGAGTGAGAGAGAGAGGGAGGGGAGCAAGAGAGAGAGAGAGAGAGAGAGAGAGAGAGTGTGTGAGAGAGAGAGAGAGAGAGAGAGAGAGAGAGCATGTGTAACCAGGAAAGGAGACAAACTGTGTTGGAGATTCAAATGCTGCCAACCTATACTGTGAAAATGACATCATTCTGATAAGCTAACCTTAACTGTGGGGAAACACTTGATCTAATCCGATTTTGAGCGCTTGCACGCACACACGCGCGCGTGCACACACACACACATACACAATTTTGTCATGTCCAATCAGAATCCCCAAAGGGAGAGTTTTTAGTTATAATTGCAATTAGGTTTTTTGCACCATTTAAAATGGCTTAATACTGCTCGTCACCAAGTATTACCTTAATACTGCTCATCACCAAGTATTACCTTAATACTGCTCGTCACCAAGTATTACCGAAAAGGACTCTTGCAGTGTTGATGCAATCAAAGAAGACGACACAAATACTGTCCCAATCGGTGATGAGGCCCTCTACTGGCCAGCCAATGGGGGACCTGGTCGCATATGTTTCATAACCATTTTGTGGTGCCTCAATATAAATGTTCTATTTGGCTACACATTTGAATGGGTTTTCCATGATTTGTAGCTGTTTTCTCATCTTTGAGATGTTAAACCTTCAGACTGCATTTCTGGAGGTGGGGGGGGGGGGGGGGGGTGCCATTGTTCACAGTTGTTTGGAGATTAAAACTCATACTAAGAAAATCTGTGGAGTGGTATGATCTAAGGATCTTGGGTCTAGTCTTCACATTTCCTAGCCTAATGGCAAAAAAGATAAACTGACCAACAACAAAAATGTCAACATTATAATACCTTTTGTTTTGGCCTATTATTGAGGTGATATTTAGCCACAAGACTAGATGCTGCATCCACCCAGCGGTGCCACATCCTACTAATCCGTAACCGGATCCAAGCGTACCCCTGGCGCTCATTGGGATCTACTAGAATGTTCAACAGGGGCTGTAACTCTAATGTGACAGATGCCTGAAACAAATAATATGAAAACTACACGTTTAAGAGATTTTATCTGAAAAAGTCAACTGAAAATTCAAAGTCCAAACTTCACTGCCCCAAGTTTACCACAAATGGCTTGCGCTTTCTGCACAATATAGCTAGCCAACTACCTGCCAAGAGCATCACACAAAGAATGAGCTCCATGCCTCCAGTGATTATCTACAAAGACCTCCTTAAAAACTGCACTTGTGAACTGAACCCCCAGTCTAAAAATAACATGACCTTCATAGCATAAATAAAGCTAACCAATACTAAACAGATCCTAAATAAGAGATTCTTCTTTTTCCTTCTTCTGCATTCACCCGTAAAAGGGTGACCTTCATAGCATAAATAAAGCTAACCAATACTAAACAGATCCTAAATAAGAGATTCTTCTTTTTCCTTCTTCTGCATTCACCCGTAAAAGGCTGGTTAGAATGCTATACTGTGGTTTACAACTAGGCTGTATAACCTGCTCCTCTCAACCCAACACATCCAATTTCAGTAAACTCCTAATTTGTTTGTTTTCAGAAGTTTGGATGTAACATGTTGTGAACAAGTTTGAGTCAAGAACTAACATCATAGCACAGAGATTCCCATACGTGCTCTGTCACCATCTTCAGTAGCTGGTGCAGAGCTCCAATGATAATAGTACCACCAGCAGTAGCAGTGCGATTGTATGTCCATCTTGCCTTTTCCATGAGTGTCGAGTGTCGAGAAGATACCCTGGTCATGCCCATCTACACCATTCTGTTTACTCCCAAATGGCCTGGATAACATCTAGCTTGTCATGCATCCAGTGAAAGTAGATTAAATGACATTTCAGATGATGATATACATATCAACAGTTTTAGAGCAACTGGAAGAAGAGACCTGAATAAGAAACAAGAGACATGTATTGTAGTCTATGTCAGTAAGTCACTTAGTGTTCACCGACGATTAGATTTAGAGACTAGCTATGTAGAATGCATAATTTTAGAAGTTAAGCTACAAAACCACAGACCCAGCATAGTTGGTTATCTCTGTTGCAAATCTAGCGCTGGTAACATGTGGTATGAAAACGTCACTGTCATGATGTATACAGTGTTCAACAATGTAGGTGAAATTATACTTCTTGGGGTCTTTAAAAAAAAAAAGTCATAAAATCCAACAAAACATGGGAAGATATAATTACCTCATATAATCTCCAACAACTAGTCAAACAAGCTACTAAAATAACAAAATTATTGTCAAATGTTATAGACAACATTTAGGTAACATGTCTTGATAACATCATAGAATGCAAGGTACCAACTACTGCAATAAGTGATTATTACCCCGTAACATGCATGTGGAATAAAATAGGAGCAAAATTTATCAAACAAAAACATTAAAGTATTAAATTTAGAAGCTATACAAATTGTAATTAAGATGCATTCCTACTTGACTTGCGCAATGTTTATCAACTCCCTGTTTCAGAGAACACTCTGGAATATTGGCATAAGACTTTCCTTTGTGTGTTTGATAAACACGTGCCAGTTAAGATGGTCCAAGTATAACATCAGACTAAATCCCCATGGATTACACAGGAAGTAGTTGAAATTATGATACAGAGATAGGTTAGCGAAAAATGGCATGGATTTAATTACATACCGGGGTCTGCAAAACAAAGTCCAGTATGCCATTCATAAGGAGAAGTTTTTAAAAAGGTTAATAGTAGATAAAATAAACAGCAAAGGTATTTGGACAGCAATTAATATTGAAAAACTTAAGGTACTCTAATGCGTTTGCTGATACAACATCTGATGATTTCAGTAATTTATTTCAAGCTGATACAGTACAGTTAAAAGTCACAATACCAAACTGTCCTAGTGATTTATCCCTGCTATCATCATTTGTGAGAATAAATGCTCTGAAGATATTCCTTCTGGAATACCTCATGTCAGTTGCTGAAGTATTTATACATCTCAGTAGTCTCAGAAACAACCATGCATCTGGTTCAGACAGAAACAGCATTAGGATCATTCGCAGTTATTTGCCAGTCGCTGACCTTTATTTACAATCAATATCTTGTGAAAGGCTACTTCTCATTAGCATCTGATTGCCAAAGAAAAAGGGGGAGGAGAAGAAGAAGAAATCAGGTTCCTTAGGCAGTGGTATTCCAGGTAACTATAGACCAATCTCTTTGTTATCATCATTATCGAAACAACTAGAAAAAAATTCATAATATAACATTCAACATTGACATCGCAATAATCCTATGGTGGATAATCAATCAAACAAAATACTCTTGCCTTACTGCCTTAACAAACATGATAGAAAACTTAGACTTTAGTGTGTTTTTAGACTTTAAGAAGCTTTTGACATGATAGACCATAATATTTTTATAAGAAAAAAAGAAACAATGAAATTTAACTCTGCTCTGGGCTATTAAAATTAATAACATCCTGTTGGTTAAATAGAAAACTAGTAAATTCAAACAATAAATCCCATAGCGGAACAAGGTCTTAAATACTAGGGTGCCTGGAGGCTCGATCTCGTCCCTCTGTTATTCGGAATTTACATAAACTATCTTCCCTTATGCCTGTCATCATCCTATCACTTATTCGCAGATGACTGTTCCATCTAAACAAATGCTCAAACTTCTTATGTACTAGAGTTGTCATTACAATAAGAATTAAATAATGTAGTCAAATGGAGCAGTACAGTAAACCATAGTAAAACATTAGTTTAAAAAAAAAAAACATACGCTAACAACGACCAGACAAAATCTTTATAGTTTAAATTCACTGACAGCACTTCAACTCTACACTGAGAGAACTCAAGTAGAAAGTGTAACTGAGCACAAAGCACTAGGGTTGCTAACTGATGCAAATTTAACCTTCAACTCTCATATACAAAGACTTGTGACACAAACAGTTAAAAAAGTTTACTAACTTGTAAAAACTAAAAAATCTCTTGATGAAAACACAAGAAAGGTATTCTATACTTCTCACATCCAGACATATTTAAACTATTGTTCTACTGTAATATGGGATGGCTGTTTCAGTTGTGTTATCAAGCAGCTTACGTCACAACAAAAGCAAGCCATTCGCTTAATAAGTAATAATTTTGGGACAGTCAGTTCCAAAACCAATAAATGTGTTATACTACTACCGTTTAGCAAATGTCTACTTTTCAAAAGGCTAAATTTATTCAAAAAAAATGTATCATAATAGGCTCCATGTTTTTTATGGCCACTGTTTAAATATAATGGAAGGCATAGCAAAAGCCTAAACATATTACATATCCCTAAACCTAAGATAGACCTATATAATTTCATTTTCGGGAACTCCACAGTGGGATGGTATCTACTGCATAACTACCTTACACAGATTGTCTAGTTCAGATAGTAGTGTCCGTATACCTGGTAATTTTCCAGACTGGAGTGCCTGAAGTACAACTTTTGCATCAGTCAGAAATACCATGGGTTGTGAAATATACCCGGTATTTAGTAGTTTCTCTGCTGCTATCTTGATGGCTTGGACTTTTGCATCGTAGTTGCGACAGTACTGTATCCCTGGTATTTTTAGGATGCTCAGTGTGCACTTCTGCACCTCTGTTTCTGATTGCATTTTGTGTTGATCCATCTGTGTAAGCACGAATCCAAAGATTCTGTGGGTATTCATCAACAAGTAGACTGAGGGTGGCTGTTTTGCGCTGCACACTGTTTTGTTCTTCCTTGTCAAATACCCCTTTCACTTCAGTCTTGATGTGTATTGGAAACTTATATTCCTCTCTCCAGGGGTCCGTTCTGGAGCAGCATTTAAGGATCTATCAGTTGCAGGCAGATCAGTGGTTTGTCTGCAGAGCCGTTAGGCCTGGTGGATGAAACTACTCTTTTGAGTCACCCCATTGCTAGATTTTGGAATCTTTTATTCACAGGGTGACTAGGCATGCTGTGAAACTTTTCTGCTTGTAAAAGCATCTTGGTGTCTCTGCGTTCACTCAGTGCTTGGGTCGTCCCCATTTTCTCCATGACAGCTATAGGTCTTGATTTCATACTGCCTGTGGTAACTCTGAGTGCTTGATTTTGCACTTTTTTAATTCTTGTAGTGTGGTTTTTTTATGTCAAACTCTATGCTGTTGATCCTTATTCTCAAGGTGTGGTCAAACTCTTTCTGGTAAACTTTCCTAAGTATTTTCCCATTAGCACCCCATGTGGCTCCACTAAGTCTTTTCAGGATGGCTATCCTCCTTCTTCCTTTTGTTGCATATTAATTTGTACACCATAGTACCAAGTCATCCGCATATACTGCAGCTTTAATTCCATGGGGTAGTTCAGAAACTAGGTCATTTATATATACTAGAAAGAGTCTTAGGGACAGGACACATCCCTGGGGAATGCCATGGCGCAGCAAAACTTTCTTACTCTTGAGTCCGTCTATCTGTACTCGGGCTCTTCTGTTATACAATTATGCTTTCACCCATTTGGACTTATTCCCATTCACTTTGTAGTTTCTCAGTTTCTTCATGAGACCTTCTTTCCAGACCTTGTCAAAGGCTTTCTTCAGATCTATCCATGCCGCTAGCATCAGCTTCTTTTCCTGGAAGAAATCCTAAATTTCTTGCAAAAGGTATATGTAGTATGCATTTGTTAAACTCTTTGACTACATTTTCTGCATCGTTATCTGTGTTCAGATTTTTAAGCAGAACATTTGTGTTGTGCTGATACAACTGCCAGTTTGCCCTCTTATAATTCAATTGTGGCAGAGTGCTGCTCTCTCTTACAGACTGGCTTGCTTCAGTTTAAAAGACTGGCTGGTGGTCACTGCCTCCTAGTCATTTCCCAACAGTTCTGGTAACATTCAGTTCCATGTTTGGTGAGTGAAAGGCCAGATCTGGTATCAAGGTGGTATGCCATGCACTTGAATAAAAGGTTGGTGGGTCGACTGGCTTATTAATGAGGATGAATCTATTCTCATCCTGCCAGTCCTCCAGTTTCCCTCCTCTCTGATCCATGTGATCATAGCTCCAACTTTGGGAGTAGCTATTAAAATCTCCACAAATGATAATTCTTTCATTTGCTAATACTGTATCGGGCGCCTGAGGGCAGTCGCTGGGACAATAATAGTTGATCAGATGTAAATCTTTATTTACTGTCTTGAGTTTAAGAGTCTGATACTTAGCACCTTCCATGTATGAGTCAATTTTTCACCAGGGTAAGAATTACACCTTTTCTTTTGTCTTTTTGGTCAGATCAGAACTACTGGTAGCCTCTGATCTGCTCTTCGTTCAAGGTGTTTTCTAGTTCTAATTTCTTAGTATTTACTCCGTGTTCAAGAGCATTATTTTTAGACTTGCTGTATTTTCAGCTCTTCTGATTTTACGAGTGATTTGAGGTTGACTTACAGTATCTGTAGCTGGACCCTTTCTACCATATGTAGGCTGTTAAGACGTCCCACGTGTACGTGAGTCAATCACATGGTGAGATCATACTTGTTTGCAAATATATATTCCTTATTGCTTTTGTGCGTGGCATTATGACTGCTGTGGTGTGCCTCCTGGCTGGTTGCCTCCAACTTCAGCAACATATTTTGCTAGGGTAGACTGTGGTCTTAGTCATGGACTCCTATATTTATAATGAGAGCGTGGCTCCTATGGCTACATTATCGATATTAGAACACAATAGTCACCGCGGTTGTTTGTCAGAATTAATTTCAGCATAACATTCCTTAACCTAAAAATTATTTGTTTCCATAAACAATAGAATATCCATCACAATGAAACTCATAATAAATTACCTTTAATCGAAAAAAAACCCAGATTTTGTGTAAATTTAATAATAATATTGTCTTGGTGCCGCCATTTCTAAACCAGAAGTCACCTTGATTGTTCTTTTCTGAGGTTTGTGAGCCAGGGAAACAGGATGGTGAAGAAGACAGACCTATGACAATGAGGACTGAATACACATAGGAAATAAAGTTTACACTAATCTGCAAGTACATGAATTGACAAAGTCACACTAAAGCCCAAAACTGATTATCCTCCCTTGGTAAGAATTGACCTTTGACAGAAACTACAGCTGTTACGACATAATATACATTGATTAACCTGTCCAGCTTTTGTTTGATAAGAGTATCAATATTTTAAATAAACACTGAGTGTACAATGTAAGCTGTATTCAATAAGATATTGATGCACTACAGCCGTCAGATTATATTACCCCTAAAAACCACTGGACTAGTTATTTGTGTATTGTTTCTGACACACTACAGAGTTTTACCAGACAGTATTTACCCAAAGCAAAATCTTTTCTCAGGACAACATAAACTTTCCCTCTGGTCATGCAATTTCTTCCTTAAGCTGAACAATCACTTCCAATGACCACACAATCATTTCCCATGGTGATACAATCTCCTTTCATTATCACACAATCTTTTCCCATGATCATTTTGTCTCCATGACCACACAATCTTTTTCCATGTTCAATGTCTCCATCACCACATAATCTCTTTTCATGATCAATCTGTGTCCACGACCACACAATCTTGTTTCCATGATCCATCGGTCTCCATGACCACACAATTTCTTTTCACCATCAATCTGTCTCCATGACCACATAATCTCTTTTGATGATAAATCAGTCTCCATGACCACATAATCTCTTTCTATGATCACTGTTTCCACAACCATACAATCTCTTCTCATGATCAATCTGTCTCCAGGACCATAAAATCTCTTTTCCTCACCACACAATCTCTTCCTATGACCATTAAAATCTCCTTCCTTCCCTTCCTCGCACAATGGCTTTCTTTGGCAACATAATCTAGTTACAAAACTACCCAATACAATCTCTTCTCAGTCACACAATCTCCTTTCACCACCACACAATCTAACCCCATAGCCACACAATCTCTTTCCATGACTATCCAATATCTATACAATATATTTCCATGATCCCACAATCTCTTTTTAGGAAAACACAAACTTGTCCCATGACCTCACAATCTCTTCCTTAGACCATCTCTTCCCATGACCAAACAATCTATTCATGCTATTTTATTTTTAAAGCTGAACAAGAGACGCTAAACACTTACATAAGTGACCCGTGTGTCCACCATTGTTCTATTCTCACTTCCTGACCAAACACGGCGTGGACAAAACTCCTCTACCTGTTAAATCACACACAAATCATAAATTTAACAGACAGAGGAGCAGCACTGGTACTTCACCACCGTCAAACATAAATAGAGTCAACCCATATTTATATTAAACGAATGTAGACCAATAAGAGAAAACAGCAGAGGAGATCAGATTTCTTAAGTCTTCTTCTTCTTCAACTAGTTATCTCTTTCAAGTGCTGGGGAAGAAGGGGATGGGCAAGTGCTGGGGAAGAAGGGGATGGGCAAGTGCTGGGGAAGAAGGGGATGGGCAAGTGCTGGGGAAGAAGGGGATGGGCAAGTGCTGGGGAAGAAGGGGATGGGATCTAAGGATCATTTGTGTGCTATACCTAATGTGTTGTATAAGTCAGTCTTCATTTCTCAAAGGTAGTTCTTGATGCCATCTTTCCATCTTCGGAGTATTTTCTGAGTCAAATGCTGCATTTGTATGCCTCTTGCATGCCCAGGTGTGTAGATCCAGATGATAGAGGTTAACCATGACTTCTGAATGCTTTCTACCCATTCAAAGTGTAGACTAAGATGATTGCAAGAAGGAACATCTTTAACAGAACTAATAGAAAACACCAGTGACCGAGATCTATGAAGAGACCTGAACATCTAAGCCGTCTAGTGATGTGCATGAAGTTGATGATTATGAAGAAGATGACTATGATGGTGGTGGTGTGATGATGATGACAATGACGGTGGTGGTGGTGATGATGATGATGATGATGAAGATGATGATGATGATGATGATGATGATGATGATGATGATGATGATGAAGAAGACAATGACGATGGTGGTGGTGGTGATGATGATGGTGGTGATGAAGACGAACATTGAGAGACATCATAGCAGATATAGATAATTTATTTCAAGCGAACGAAAGAAGAAGAAGAAGAATTCAGAATAGAGTTAAACAATATATAGAGTTAACATATTACATCTGTTTTTAACAGAAATAGAGTTGAACACCTGTCCTTACCTCGCTGAGATACATAATGATAGAGCAGTCGGAGCCATCAACCCCATAACCTGCATAGCAAGGGTCTGATTTCCACATTTTGCGCATCCACTGAAAGATGGAGGTTTAGAACATTCATCATTAAACTATTACATACAACATCCACTGAAAGATGGAGGTTTAGAACATTCATCAGTAAACTATTACATACAACATCCACTGAAAGATGGAGGTTTAGAACATTCATCATTAAACTATTACATACAACATCCACTGAAAGATGGAGGTTTAGAACATTCATCAGTAAACTATTACATACAACATCCACTGAAAGATGGAGGTTTAGAACATTCATCAGTAAACTATTACATACAACATCCACTGAAAGATGGAGGTTTAGAACATTCATCAGTAAACTATTACATACAACATCCACTGAAAGATGGAGGTTTAGAACATTCATCAGTAAACTATTTTATACAATATTCACTGAAAGACAGAGGTTTAGAACTTTCATCAGTAAACAATTACATCCAACATCCACTGAAAGATGGAGGTTTAGAGCAATCATCAGTAAACTATTACATACAACATCTACTGAAAGATCGAGGTTTATAACATTCATCAGTAAACTATCAACACACAACATCTTCTGAAAGATGGAAGTTTATAACAATCATCAGTAAACTATTACATACAACATCTACTGAAAGATGGAGGCTTATAACATTCATCAGTAAACTATTAGATACAACATCTTCTGAAAGATGGAGGTTTATAACAATCATCAGTAAACTATTAGATACAACATCTTCTGAAAGATGGAGGTTTATAACAATCATCAGTAAACTATTAGATACAACATCTTCTGAAAGATGGAGGTTTATAACATTCATCAGTAAACTATTACATACAACATCTACTGAAAGATGGAGGTTTATAACATTCATCAGTAAACTATTACATATAACATCTACTGAAAGATGGAGGTTTATAACAATCATCAGTAAACTATTAAATACAACATCCACTGAAAGACAGAAGAACACTTATTAACAAAAACTATTACATACAACACTCAGTGAAAGATTTAACATTCATCAATAAATTATCACACACATTTACAGAAATAGAGCTGAAAGATAAAAATTATGCAGCAAAATCAATAATAAGTAGCTCTGGGAAAGAACTATAATACAAGTACCAGAGAATCAAGAAATGATGAAAACAGTGGCACTTGATAGGACACACTGAAAAAACCTGATAATCAATGGAGTCTCTGCAATCAAAACATTTAAACACAAGAGCATGGCACCCACCTCAATCTTCTGTGGACACTCAGGGAACTGTGTCTTGTCTTCGTCTGTGAGCTCACACTTTTCTGACTTGCCTTGCAACAGATCTGAAATTGGTCCATGTTGTATATATACCGATGCAGTTTATGAGATGTTATATTATCACAGTTGACATCACTGGTTATTGAGCATTCCCATGTGTGTCCACTCCAGCTACTCTTAGGTAGCTCTACTGCTCGTTCCCATGAGAAGGTGATTATAATGACTCCTATCTTGACCTCAAAGACAACACAGATACGTTTCACCAAGCTTTGCACCAAAACCAGATTGGTAGATTAAGTTTCATCATTTTCCTCCAGCCTAGTCCAGTTGTACATTCATTGATAAACTCAATCCTTCATTCATTCATTGATAAACTAAATCATTCATTCATTCATTCATTCATTCATTCACTTATTCATTCATTTATTTATCCATCCATTCATTCACTTATTCATACATTCATTTATCCATCCATTCATTCATTCCTTTATTCACTTCATTCATTCATTCATTCATTCATTTATTCATTCATTCATTCATTCATTCATTCATATATTCATTCATTCATTCATTCATTCATTCATTCATTCATTCATTCATTCATTCATTCATTCATTCATTCATTCATTCATTCATTCATATATTCATTCCTTCATTCATTCATTCATTCATTCATTCATTCATTCATTCATTCATTCATTCATTCATTCATTCATTCATTCATTCATTGTCCATTTTATGTCACATAGGGCTCGCATTCTATTCCTCCATTCCATTGCATCCTGTGCATTTCAGTTCAATATCAGGGTGGAATTCAGTCCAGCAGTTTGGCTTCATGCTTATCCTCACATGTGTAGATAGATGCACTACCTGTTAGCTGGTTGATTCGTTGATGACTTTTCATTCTGGCATGCCTAGGTGCACAGATTCAGGTGAATGTGGTTTGTGTGATAAAGAAATGTTCACTATAAAATAACAGTGAGTAAGAATCTTGAAAACAGACAGAAACTTAGAGATCATGCTCAGAGGTTTTGAGGGAAGACTTCTCAGAAGCCTGTTGGGGTTCACGAGTGAAGATAAAATCAGCAATTCTAGATTACGACAAATGACAGACATGGAAAATGAAAATTTAGAAATGAAAAAAAAAAACCAAGGTGGAGGTGGATTGGACACGTCCTCAGAATGAAGAAAGAGAGACGGTCGAGATGGGCAATGCTATGGACACCACAAGGACAGTGAGAAAGAGGCAGGCTCATTCACCTGGCGGAGAAACTTTGAGGCTGAACTCAAGGCTATGAGAAGGACACAACTTGAGATAAGAGGGGATGGCTCAGGAATTAAGTGGTAAGTTTGTCTCTGCCTTATGTGCCTCCGAGCATGATGAGGACTGACTGATTTGAACCAACTTTCACATCCTGAGATATATCGGGCATATAATATGTGCAGACTTACTGATACTCACAATTTGACGAAGTCCATATTAAATTAGTTGCCTTTATTTTCCCTAACATTACATTGCACCAGTTGTGTACCAAATGTTTGATAAAGATAATCATTTGTTCATTCAGAAACTCCCCACTTGTTCCTTCAAGAACTCACCACTTGTTCCTCCAAGAACTCACCCCTTGTTCCTCCATGAACTCAACAAGTGTTCCTCCATGAACTCACCACATGTTCCTCCATTAACTCACCACTTGTTCCTCCATGAACTCACCACTTGTTCCTCTATGAACTCATCACATATTTCTCTATGAACTCACATGTTCCTCCATGAACTCACCATATATTCTTCCATGAACTCAAAACTTGTTCCTTCATGAACTCCACACTTGTTACTTAATAAACTGACCACATGTTCCTTCATGAACTCCACACTTGTTCCTTCATAACCTCGCCACTTGTTCCTTCATGAACTCACCACTTGTTTCTTCATGAACTCACCACTTGTTTCTTCATGAACTCGCCACTTGTTCCTTAATAAACTCACCACTTGCTCCTTCATGAACTCACCACTTGTTTCTTCATAAACTCACCACTTGCTCCTTCATAAACTCACCATGTGTTCCTCCATGAACTCATCACTTGTTCCTTCAAGAACTCACCAATTGTTCCTTTATTAACTCACTGCATGTTCCTCCATAAACTCACCACATCTTCCTACTTGAACACACCATTTGTTCCTTATTGAACCCAACATTTGTTCATGAAATCAAAACTTGTTCCTTGTTCCACTCAACTCATAAATGGTGAGTTCATGAGGAAACGAGTGGTAAGTTCATAAAAATGCATTCTTACACGTGCTCTGACCCCTCCCTCAGTAGCCAATAAAAAGTTCCCACACTGCTGGTGCAAACTGCTACATGATTAAACGTCCGTCTGTCCTCTGAGCACTGAAAATCATCCATTCCCTGTTGAATCAGTACCTCTGGATATGAATTAATCAATTTATGAATACTGTGTCTGTATCCTTGCATGTCCACTTGATCAATGTGAATTCATCACTGCCACATTAACATAAAATACCTCACAGACTCACTGCCCAGAGCAGCGGCAGCATCCAGTGTATCAGCCTGCTCAAACCCCACACACCCAAACGGCCCAGACAGAAAATCCATAAAACTACCTAGAAACTGTGATAATGTAGTTGATAGAGCACTGTGTTAGATCAGCTGTTCTAAAGTTGTGTGGGGTTGCCACAACATGAGGAAAGTATTAAAGGGTCATGGCATTAGGACTTCTTTCTTTTTTTTTCTTCTGTGTTCATCTGGAGATATAATTGTATTTTGCCCGTTAACATCATGGCTGCAATATTTGTGCCTTTGGCCGATACATCTGACTTCTGTAGGCATGTGTTGACCGGGTTAGCCTTTCCAGAGCTAACTTTCTAGAAGTGTCTGGTAAATTTCTAAATATATCAGCAACATTTCTAGACATAGCTACGTTTCTACTCATCATCATCATCATGTAGCAGGCACTTTGCAGAACATCACTCTCATCACGGTATGCCTGAAAGAAACTCAGTCTCTTGTTAGCTCTCCCACCTCATATACTTTTATATTCAAGGAGTCACTTATATCCTGTGCCCATCTTCGTGTTGGTTGGCCCCTGCCCCTCCTTCCTAGTACCGTGCCTTCTGCTATTACTTTTTCCAATCTGCCGTAGCGCTTAATATGACCTAAATATTTCAGCTTCTGAGACAAGATGCTGTTTATTAGCTAATTTTCCTTGATGTTCAGATCTTTTAAAATGTCAGCATTTTTATTTCTACACATACCACAAAAAAAAAGAAAAGGGCAGATACCTTCAGCAGAGAGTATCCTTCCTTTCTTGCCCTCTAGTCCCTGCCGTGCTGCAGTATCCTGATGGACAGAAGCGGCCAAGGCTGAGAACGAGGACAAAGATGAGTTGTCACTGAAGAGAGATCCATTGGTGACATTGTTGACAAATATCTCCAGCCGATTGATTCGTGCCAGCATGGATTCTAGTAGTACTGCTATTGTTTTCTTCAGATCTGAAATGTGACAGTTTGTCAATATCTAAATGTTAAAAGGTTAAAGTCAAAAGGATAGACCTCAGTGCACCAGGTTTTATCCTATGTGGCTCAGTAATTTCCCACAGAATGGTGAGCGGCCTTCACAAACTTGACATTGCAGCTGATGTCTGGCAAGTTCTACTCATTCCTGACAGATTATTACTGTTCTTGTTAGATTTTTTTTTTTTTTTCAAATTCCTGGCTGACACTACATAGTTTATCATATCCTAACCATTTCTGGCAGATGTTGTTATGATGTAATCAGATTTTTAAGATCCTTGTCAGCAGGTAAAAAGTAAAGTAAATGGATTTTTATCATAGTATATTATCATAGAATCAATTATCTACCTGGTGGAAGAATTATGTGTCTCCCTTTAACTAAGATCATTCATCTCACTTCTACAAGACTCAATTATTTCCACTGGAGAAAATTAAATTTTTACCTTAATGAGAAATGATTTATCTCACTTGAAATCATTAGCTCCTCTTTGAGAAGAATGATTTATCTCCCTAACCTAAATCAGTAAATCTACAGAGATGTGGGTTCATCTGGGTAAAGATTCGACATCACCACATTCAGGACAGTATTCAGGACAAGTCTCCATTAACTTCATCTCCCGGTTATAGAAAAGTTAGTCTCCACACAAAAAAGGATGTCACGTTTCATTGACAACTTTGTTGGACTGGTCTACTTTCCAAGGGGGGTTATGGGTGTGCCGCTCTGTTGTTTGTTTTCTGGCTTGTCTTGCATTTACATTTTTCTTCCAAGAAAGAGAAATGCCTGTGACATAGGTTGTAGTTCCCTCTAGGGGGTTTGTGTCTTAGACCCAGTCTGTCCCTGTTTTTTAGAGTGTTAGAAGTGCTCGCGTGCTGAAGTATACAACATACGATATCAACAGCATTGCGGAACACACCTGTGACCTTGTGTGAAGGTCACATGTCTCAAGGTCGATCAATCAGAAGTGAGCTAGGCTGAAGGTCGACCAATCAGAAGTGAGGTAGTGTGTAACACTATGTCAATGGGGGGACTAACTTTACTATTACCCATCTCCTTCCTCAACAGACAGCGAAGAATTTCCATAATGATGGCACCTATTGTCATCTGGTTAACTACTTGTCTTGCCTTCCCTCTGAGTCTCGAGTGGCACCCAGAGCCACTCCATGCTGCATCATTCTCTTCAGATGTGGGTTTTCAATATCTTACATTTGAGCTGTCACCTTGTCCCACAGGTAAGACATCCCCTCTGCCTTGTGCAGTTGCAGCATACCCCCAAATGGGGCCTGTCCAGCTAGCCTGTCTGCTCATTCCCAAACATACTTGAATGGCCTAAACACACCTGAATAGCCCAAACATACCTGAATGGCCCATACCCCTGAATGGCCCAAACACACCTGAATGGCCCCAACATATCTGAATGGCCCAAACACACCTGAATGGCCCCACAACCTGACCCACCACACCTGAAGTCCCCTATAGAGGAATCATTTGTCTCCCTTACCAAAAGCTGTAAACCTGCCAGCGTAAGGTCCGTCAACAATATCACCATTCTCCTTGGCCAGGGCTTTGATGTACTCTTCACTCAGCTGTATAATTTCTGCCTGAAAGGACAAGATCCAAAAACCAAAAAAATGTTCAACACATTTTAGCTCGAACAAGGCAATTAATGTTCTCTACTATGTTAAGCTGTGACCTTTCTGAAAGGGTTGGCTAGTCATCTGTATCTGCACTCAGAACTAGTTCCTAAATAAAATATTACTACTTACTTACGTCCTTTTCAGGTCGTATTATTTTCTTATTTGAAGCCCCACTTTGGCTTTTGCAAGGGGCCGCAATATAGGCAGGCCATCAATATGGCCAATTGTCTGAATGCGGTTTCTGGGACCTCTCCACGGTGATCCTCATCCGCATGGTGGCACTTTGTGTTATCGGGTGTTTAACGCTTGTGTAATGTCCTAGTGGGGTAGAAAGTCAGTCAGTCAGTCAACTAGTTCCTAATCAATATATTTTCATCCCTTTGTCCGATGCAATTTTTCGTTATTTGAAGCCCTGTTCTGGCTCTTGCCAGGGGCCACAATATAGCCCGGCCAAAAATATGGCCTAATGGCTGAACGTGGTTTCTAGGACCTCTCCACGGTGATCCTCATCCACATGGTGGCACATTGTGTCATCGGGTGTTTATCGCTTGTGTGATGTCCTGGTGGGACAGAAAGTCAGTCAGTTCGGCCATGTTCGTTCTGTACTCTGGCCAAATTGGCCTCAGCTAACCCTAGTATATAGATAATATATATAGGCATGCAGACAGTTAGACAGATAGGCAGACAGATGGACAGGCAGGCAGGTATACAGGAACAGGTAGTCAGACAGGCAAGCGGGTATACAGGAGCAGGAAGGCAGGCAGGCAAGCAGGTATACAGGAACAGATAGGTAGTCAGGCAGGCAGGTATACAGGAACAGGTAGTCAGGCAGGCAAGCGGGTATACAGGAGCAGGAAGGCAGGCAGGCAAGCAGGTATACAGGAACAGATAGGTAGTCAGGCAGGCAAGCGGGTATACAGGAGCAGGAAGGCAGGCAGGCAAGCAGGTATACAGGAACAGGTAGGTAGTCAGGCAGGCAGGTGGGTGTACAGGAGCAGGAAGGCAGGCAGGCAAGCAGAGAGATTATATCTCAGTTTTGGTTTATTATATCTCAGTTTTGATTTAAACTCCCTCCGGCCCAGTTTTTGCTTTAACTCCTCTTGACCACATATCCGTCATTCAAGCTGACAACTATAGATACAGCAAAATTTAAGATACTAAGAACCAAAACTCACATTTACCTTGACTATACTGCTGTCCCTTGGCTGTGCCTGGCCAAACACCAGCGATATATTCACGAATGTAAAAGACCACAACACAGCGACAACTGCCAGTACCACCATCAGCCGACGCACCATTGGCATTCGCAGTAACCGGGGTGGCCATTTTGATGAAGAGCTCCTCACCATGGCAACAGAGTGTCCGTCCAACAGCTGACTCGACACATCTGCAGAAGAGAAATGTTAACTTTCAAACAAATTTGTTAACTTTTTAGAATGACCTGTTAATTATTTTACACATAAATAATGAGGACACAAAACAATATATTATACAATTTGTACTTCTTTAACACAGAAGTCTAAGAGCAACCAATTGATCCGTGTTGTTATATAACACTGGATCGTCCATCCTAATTGTCCTTGCTTCTGCTAAACACTATTTCTGCCAAATAAAAGATCTAACACTGAATCAATCTTACAACTGATCCCAAAACTTTCTGTTCAGCTACAGTGTAACATGTAATCTAGGTGTTTTAGTTAAATGAATTCAGGATATGTGCTTCATTATATGTTGATTAACTCTGTATTAATGCACCTGACAGGATACAGTAAGGCAATAAAACTCAGAGCTGGTATCGAACCAGGTATCTCAGAATTTCAAACCGCGCTTGTAACC